ATTTCTTGATAATGTAAACGGCAATAGATCAACTCTTTCATCATTATATTACCAATTTAAGTAGTGAAAATCAGATGATATTAGCGCTCACCTTCTTTAGTTAATTGAATTTGATATAAGCGGTAAGTTTTTCCTTTATATCGCTTAACATATCAACAGTAATTTGTTGATAGTTAGAGTGGATAATGTAGGCTATCATTCTATTTGTAATCATATCTTTAATTTCTCGTAAGTTCATTTTGGGCAGACAGTTAAATGGATTAATATATTTTGAAGATATTGATACAAATGAGATGGGGCTCTGATCGTGTTGGCCTCGGCAAATTTGTTCATTATTTTTGAGATTCAAGGTTTGAAATCATCAAGAGATTATTAGTTCTAGCCCCAATCGTTTTATTACTAAGGATCTATTTTTATTATTACTAGAGTTTACGGATAGCGGTTTTAATTCACGTTACTTTCATTTATTCATATTTTCCCTCCATTTATCTAAGCAGCCAACTTAACTGTCTTCTTTGTCGCTTTTATATAGTTTAAACCAATCATACGAATACTTATCTTTAGCAATTCATTCCACATTCTTAAGACCTAATGTTACATAAGCCTGTATTTAGATACATCATGTTTAGATTTGATTTGTTTGCGGTTATGCAGTGGTTTATATTCATTTTATTAGTATTATTTCTATAATTATGTACAACGTTCATTTAGTCCCATAAACATCTTGGTTATCGTTATCAGATTTCTATCATTCAAAGCCAGTTAATAATTTCATTCCAAACTTCTTTATTAATTTATCAGCGACAATTCTAGTTACATTATGGGCTTAGAACGGTCAGGATTTCAAATTCATTACGATATTTTCCTATAATAGGCTTAATTTACTTCGTGATCGGTTTCATTTTCTATTCCATAAGGTACCGTAATCAACTTACTAAACTAGAAAGTTTTACCTTAGAGGGGAATTTCAGTCGTGCTTATTTGGCGATAGTAACTATTTTTACCAGTTTACCACCGTTCAGTTTCTGTCTTTTCAAGACTTGAAGCTTTTGAAACGAGTCTTATTGATATTGTGGGCTTACGCATATAGTAGAATTGAATAGTGAATAAATTTTTAGTAATGAATGAACGCGAAATATAGCCATACAAAGTAACTATTTCTCGTCGCGATAGATGGCACGGCGGTATTAAAAATTTATAAAGTTCAAAGTCTTGTTTTGGCATGATAGTTAGTATACATATGGAGGCAAGATCCTCTTTACTTATTGACCATTCTAACTCATAGATGACTAATTGCTATTCACTCTTTGGATAGTCCAAACAATAAACCACACAGAAAAAGTTGACATGAAGATCTATTTCTTATTCGTCAATGTCTTTATGATTACTCAGTACTTTTGTAATAGTATTCTCTATTCTACCATCCGTTCAATTGGGTCACATTATCATTCTTAGAGTCTTGTGAGTTATTTCACGCCTTAATTATTTCGAGACCGGATTAGACGCCGTGTATTATGCGCGAATTTCCATTCCTCCTAGGATAGAGACTCTGCAACAGCAGATTATTTCATGAAGGATATTCTCATTGGATAAAATCGTAATGACCTTATTCGATATTGAAAATCAGCTATATTGGGATATTACTCCATTAATGGCGATAATTGCTTGAATCTAGCAATATCAGTGAGTGTATATTGATCTATAATTAGTTTCTATTTCCCTTCATATCATCATCTGAACTCCCGACGTAGGAAATTGATTATTCATTTATCGACTCAAAATAACCTCATCTTCTGTGGAAGAAATCTTAATATAGAAAGATCAGGGTTTTAGATGTTGCCGATTGATTTAGATATGGACTAAATGAATGAGTAAATCAACATTATTGGAAGAATTTCCTCTTTTATTTATTTCTTTCATGCCATCTTGCCTACTTACAACTGCTGTATTTGTCGGTTAGTTCCTGGTCGTGGCTTCTGTTAACCCGATTGTTTTAATTTCTTTTCGATCTAACTAGGTGAGCAACTATCTATTGTAATCCCCCTCCCTGATTAGATTGCTTACATCCTAGACCGTTGTCCTAGTTTTCTATCGTCAATTTAACCTTGAGCTGATCTTTCGACACTTAACATTAATCGCCGATTAACCATTATGTCGTTTATTCCTTATGTACTACAATTTACCTCGTATTGAAGTTATAATACTAGTAAGGCCAACGACTTCCTTATTGCCATCATTCTGCTCTACATAAAGGGATTTTCCAGCGTTACAGCTACTGTTCTTTAAAATTGATCGCCTAGTATTCCATCTTTAGTCTAACATCTTATTTACATTGAAACAATCGTCGATCATTATCACCTCATAGCCATTTATTCCAATTTTTCTTTATCAGGAGATTCTTAGCGCTTCATTGACAGAATAGACAGGCATTTCTAGGAATATTGTAAATTTTCTATTTGTTTCAATGATTCCATCCTCTTTAACCATAGATGGGGCTTTGTTTCTACTGTGTTATTGTCTTCTATCTATTATGCTGTCTGATTTGAGGAAGTAGAGGACAGAAATTGGCGATTTATTTCAACCGCTATTTTTACTCTATCATCAATCACTAGATATAAAATTTACTCCTAATTTTAAACCATATTCCAGTGATCATTTATTTCACTCAATTGCTCTTTCTGACTTGATAGTTATGACTTCTTACAACGGTAGAAATCAATTCTTAATCATTTTGCCAAGTTAAAGCAGAACTTGCTAATAGTCAAAAGATTGTAAACTTCAATATTTTGTTTTACTGGATAAATTTCTAATCGGTATCAAATTTGTTTTCACTATTTCCAAATTGATGTGTATGAAGGTTAATATTGCAGGATAGATAAGGTACAGGCTCATTTTTACATAAGCTACTAAATGTTTTAGCGACTAGAATTTTCAATTGCATAAACTCAAGAATTAGACATCAGTTTGCTTAGCTTATGTAATTACAAACATTGACAAAGTGCATATTACATGAGTCTTTAGGTTACAATTTTATGCCATTGGATAAGTAATCTACGCGTTATATTTTTCTTATTTTCCTGTTTCAATGTTGAACAATATATCATCATTAATGCTATTAAATTTAGATACAGTTTCAATCTTAGAAGATGGAAAGATATTTAAGACACTTCTTACATCTGTTTTTCACTGCCTACACCGCACCTTGAACATCAGTTAGTCAAATTAAAATCGTCCTTTTTCTTTAGTAACAACATATCAACTTGTGTAGTATCATTAGAAGAAACTTATTTTACTCAAATCATTATTCTAGAAATAATATTTGCTATTGTTGCTTTTTTTAACGGATATTTTTATCAACATTATTACTATAGACTAGTTACGTTATCATATTACATAAGGTGCATTGCTACAACTATTTATTTAATGTGGTATAGTTCAAGCCTTGAATAGATCATTCTGTTAGGATACGGTTACTGTAATTATTTTACTAATCAGTTATCAGCTGCCTTATTATTCTTGTTATCGTATTTTATTTCAGAGCAATCAGCTGACTATCAACGTTCTTGTTCGATCTCTTTTAAAAATTTTAATTGTAACAGACTCAATGATATAAATAGGATATAATTTTACTTTAAATAAGATACTGCCATTAAATATTCTGATTGTATTGGTATTCTAAACTTTAATACTATTTATGATAGGTTGGCTATTTATTTTGTAAATGATACTTTTATTACTGCAAGTTAAAGCTGCTATACGATCTACATCAGCCACCGATCCTAATGACTCCGTAATCTATCAATCAATCGATCTTAATCATTTTATTGGCTATTACTGAAAGAATCGATATTGTACAGTATAATTATAGAGCTAAAGCGGAACCGTAAATCGAAAGTATTAAGAAGTTTACCAGTGATAATTTGTCAAAGATATTTTATAGTAGATTAACATTTTGGCTAAATCTAAATCACAATACCATCGGTTCTGGGTACATCTATTCAAATCAATTCAATTAGAGTCAAAGGGTGACTTGGATTGAATATTACCGCAAATAATCCATCTACTTATCAATTCTTCATAAAATCGAACAGCGGACATCAAGTATAAACAAGAAATCCACCAACTTCGCCTAGCAATACTTTAATTCCTTTGCTAATGCAAGTCGCTAATCTTGGAATGACCATTTCTTTTAAATTATAACTCTGCATTGGTAACTGTAATAAAACTTTAGAATCGGTATCTTCAACTTAATTCCAATTTCTATAATTTCCAATGCTAATTTGGACTCGAAATAGTTTCTTTAAACTTTAATATCTTAACGTAGCATTTCTTAAGCAAGAATTTAAGGAAATTGTAGAGCTACATCAGGTGTTCAATAATTTATGATATTTTATTATAGTTTAATAACTGATGTGTCAATTTCGACCCAAAGCTAACACGAATATAATAATATCATTGCTATATTAATCAATATTCTTTAAGATTTCTGTAGTCACTAATTCAATATTAATTGCAATTTGTATTAATTATAAGTCCATAACTCGATTTTTAGCTATTGATGAAAAAACTTAATTATTACCTCCGATATAGTAACTTGAACGGTAATTATTATTTCACCATTTAAACTCCCAAGAAATTAGTCTATTTTAGCTATAGGACTGGATTTTGAATACAATTATTTGATATTGTCAATTTTAATACTTAATTAAAGAGTTTAAGCTTACTTTTCTGACATCATTTGTTGAACCTGATTCAAGTAAAACATTGGTAGATTGATTTAAACTGCAATCATGGACAACCTTACCATCCAATCAACAACCAAACCTATTGACCAATTTAAACTTAATTCCTATGTTACAAAACGGCAGATATATGGTTTTGGTATTACCTTTTCCATTATTGCAGTAGCCTGTGTCATCTCAAATTTGATCATGATATTAGCTATTATACGCAATCGCTACCGCAACATGTGGACTGTAACTAACTACTATATCTTCAATATGGCTCTGGTCGATTTATTGACAGGATCAATAGTCATTCCATGTCGAACTGCTCAGTTTGCGTTCCTCTATTGGTTTCTGGGTCGATTTTTGTGTGTTATTCATATTACTGTTGAGAAACTGTTATTTTGCTGCAGCATCTACACGTTAACATTAATGGCATTTGCACGATATCAAGCTATTGTTAACCCGTTAAACAGCAATTATCACTTCAAAGGAGCGCTTTGGAGATTAGGGGTAATCTGGTTACTCTCCATTGCTTCTTGTATACCGTTAATAATTCATATGCCGTTTCAAGTTTATACCTTAAAAAGACCCTATATACTAAGCAATCACGATTGTCAACCTACATTTAGATCAAGAGAGGAATCCGAGCTCTACTTACGAATCTATTATGCTTTATTCATGTTTTTCGCTTTCTTTTTGCCTTTAATTATTATTTCTTATTGCTATTTTAAAATCTATCAAACTTTACGTAACCGTAAGCGTGATTCGACATTAAAGTCGACAATGAAGAATTATTCCAAATCGATCAAGCGAACAAATAGAAAAGTAATCCATATGTTATTGACCATTACCGTCCTATTTTTTATAAGCTGGTTTCCACATAACTTTTCAATTATACTTTTAAATGTTGCCGGTCTAAATAAGGTTTGGATTAAAAGTTATAAAGATTACCTTAGTTATATCAATATTGGTCAGACGGGCAAGGTTTTATCCTATTTAAACAGTTGCCAAAACTTTTTTGTCTGCTTGATATTTAATAAGTCATTCCAAGATGCCATTGCTGACATTTTAACTTTGGGTTATTATAAGAGAACGGAGTCGTTGTTTAGTTATCAAGCAAGCAATGTGAGCTCAACTCATCGTGTTAATGACCATGCTGAATTAACTCGCAATGAATCTTTGCCGGAAAAGAATCCTCTTGGGTCTGACGCACCAACCCATGTATAAGCTGAAAAATGAAAATAGAAAGCATGGTACAGCTGTTTTGGCTAATGAAACTCTTTTAATAATTAGCTTACTTCTAATGGAATGTCATATCCTTCATTCGTGGCTATGAAAAAAGCGATAACTCTCTTTTAACGTTTAAGTAGAATTGAATAACCTTGAAAGAAAAATTACGAAGAGTAACAGCACAGATAATTTACAAGTTCCTTTTCACTACTTGCGCTAGATTAACTTTTTTACAAATGGGAAGTTTAGGCCCTATATCAGTTTCGCCCTATTTCGAGGTAAAAGTAAAATGAAACTTAGCTTAGACTAATTAAAGCATGGACATAGTAAATGATTTACATGAATTGATCCGATAATACTCTTGTAATCATTTATTATCGAAAATAGTTACATGCAGTAGATATTGCACATGTTCGCATCCGTTTTTACGTAGATAATTGATCGAATATGACATTGAAATCTTAAAATTCCGATTGTAGATAAATGCCTGATTTTAGCTTTATTTTTCGGTATAGAATAAGCAATAATTATGAATTAATCAGCTGATAGATATTTTCAATCTTTAATCATAGCTTTCAATTAATAATCTTTGATAATCTCTGTTACGACAACACATCTAAATGTAATGACTAAATTTTTATCTCTCTCACGTATACAGTATGATTTTTAAAACCAATTATATGCAATATATTAGTATAGAATAACATATTGTAAGAAGGATTAGGTAATCGAATGCACTTTATATCACAGTTTTATAGTAGGATATGTTTATCCAAACACTTCCAGATGTTATTGAAGATACTTCATATTTTAATCTGCTCTATTTATCACGATTGCATTATATCTATCTATATTAAATAGGGATAATTTAATCTGTATTAATCAATAATAAATAGAATCTACGCAGTCATCACATACAATAGTTGTCGTGATTAACTATTGATGTAAATGGCATGATTTACTACCGCTAGAAGCCAAGACTTCATATTAATACTGATTCGAATTTTCTATCCAGTTATAGTTAAGCTTATACGATTGTATGGATTATAAGTTTTTCCTAGAACTTATAGTATACTGTAAGTAGAGTAATATCTAGTCAATAGGCTATGTTCAAATAAAGCGTTATAGTGGTACTGAGATTGGAGCTCAATTCTAATCTAGCAGCAACGAGCTTATCTTGTCGTCTTTATTAATGGCGTCTTTATCACCATAGATACTTTAATTTGGCATGGTACCAAAGTGTACATCACTCTTAAAATACCGTAGTTTAACAACTAGATATGGTTAATTGCAATATTAAACTCATTTAGGGAGAACAGAATCAAGGTGAAAATAAGGAATGCTAGAATTATCTTACAATTGTACGAAGCGTAAATAACTACTATCAATATTAAAATGCGATATTAAAATAATGGGCTAAAATTTTCTTTGAATTATTCCACATAATAATACAAGTGGCTGAAACGTTAATTTATCATCGTGGTTATTTATAGTATCGAATTTCATAGCTGTACTGGGTCTACATTTCTCCACACCTTATTCTATTTGGATAATTTTATCTAATACTGGAAAAAAAATTGTAACGATTGCATTGCTTCCAGATCGAATGGAAAATGTTTACTTGGTTTTGACATAATAGTTTAAATGATAACGTAGAGGTGACATTAGAAAGGCTTTCTAATAGTACATAGGCGAGAATTTATTGCAACTACATGTTAAGTGGTAAGTAATGATGATCGAAGTAATAGATTTATGATAACACGATATAAGAGAGAAATCAATCTTTTTAGAATAGACTTGAAAATAATATGACTTAGGCTATCAACTTTTATTTGAGTTAGCAAATGGTCACCTCAATTTTCGATAGATCTAGAATTGGAATGAGGGAATCAAAATGTTGCTTAGTTAAACTTTTTGGGGTATATGTATGTAAAATTATTAATTTCTGCTCCTTATGTTTCTGTATTCAATATCCATAATCAAATTGGCGATACAATATGAGTTATCTAATCACAGTGCCTGTGTGATTGTTGTAACTCTTAACATGGTTGATTTTTCTTTCAACCAGAATTAACTAATTGGTAGTTTGTATTATCTGCAGCAAAGGCAATAATAAGGAATAGCCATCCATCGCCATTGATGAGTCTGCTTTAAGTATAGAAACCAAATAAGAGCGTTATCTTGGATAACTATTCGTAGTTATCTATCGAGTAATCAACTAACGTGTCAACAAGTAAGTTATAGCATTATGTTAGACCTTGATCCGCATCGAAAGGGGCTTAACAGTAGCGAAGAACTTAGCCTTTATTGTGGTGGTTGTAAATTAGGCAATAATCTTGTTTAATCAACGGTCTTTAAGATTGCTTTGCTCCACTTGAGGCACATTCAATAATCTACAACACAATTTTTTCATACTATAAAATCATCATTATTCTGTATCGATAGTTTAACAAATCGAGCGAACTTTACGATTACACTAATAGCGATTGGCAATCGACTTGTTTATTTTTTATGACGTTTCTGCATCAATATCGCCTTAAAATAATGCCTAATTAAGAGACTATTTCTCTTGTAGATTGTGAGATATCGACTGATTGTGATTTTTATGAGATGGTTGTTGCTACTATTCATCATTAAAAAAGAACGCGATAGCAACCATAGATTAAAAGAGATTTAGGATAGAGCTAGTTAAATTAATCTCCCGTTATAGATTAGGGTAGAAAATATAACCCTACTATTCTATCTATCTCATAATTAAATCATATGTTGGAATAATTTAATAGGATATCAATCCACAACGTCAAATTATGATGTTAGAAGTCTTTAAAGTTATTTATTCGACTGGAAGGAGCCTAATGATAATATTGATCAAGATGATGTGTTCTCCTCAATCGCAAATCGCATTGAAAATGTAGATCATTTAAAGATATTTGCTTTGCAAGCGTAATTCTCGTCATTACAAGCTAATAATAATAGCTAAGATTCACCAACAATGTCCTATTAATACATCAAATTACACACAACGTTGTCCACAAGGAAGTTTTACAGTCTCATCGACGTTGAATAAATCATAATACTATTGGATCTGTAGGACAGGTGATGTAATATAAAATCGATGCCTATTTGTGAATATCAGACTTACAGCAGCTTAAACTATCCCATTGCTATAGCTGATTTTGCATCAAATATTGAGATCTATTGATAGCGTACTGCATCATGGCAAAATACCGTGATATTAACTGCCATCATTTATGTTCTAAAAATAATTTCCTTCTGGTGTGCTTGTTACATTATTAAAGCTATCTTCATGCATCTATCTCGTTTGTCCGTTAGGCCAGAAAACGGTAAGCTTGCACTCTTTACCTATTTTGCCTTACTATTCGACTAGCCACGTCGCATTCACGTTGTAACCTCAAATGGTTATCTTCTTCATGCTAGCTCAATAAAGATTACTGTTTCAATATTTATTTCTCTAGTCATTTATTGCAATTATGAAAGACCTTCAATCTCCCGAAACATCAACATTGTCGTTATAGTTTTAATGCGAATTTTAGTCCATATACGCGTAAGTTACAGTTTACAGCTTCAAAAAAATTAGTTCGCCAATCTAGCTTTTACGCCTTTAATGATAATATGTTTAACACTGTAATTGCGGTTCTTAAACTTTCTATGGGCGCAAATTAGCGAGAAGAAAACAATTTTTGAACTTTTGACTTAGATTAGTTAATAATTTCATGTATGCGGTAATAAATATCTAAGGCAATTATTTTGATGATCAGATACTATAGCAGATGAAAGTCGTAGATAAAAAAATGTAATTTCTTGTAACGATTAAACAGATTATGAATCATATCGACCGAGTTAAAAGATTAATAAGATTGCTTAGCTATCAAATGAGTTTATTTAAGTTGATATGCGAATATTTGTAAATGCATAACATTAATGATAGTTGCGGGGGTATTTCAGTCATCAGAGTATTAAACTGATCATAGAGACCATGGAGAAACCTCATGCATAATTTGTGTGCATTTTCGTGTTATTAATTCGCTAACAGATAAACTAAGATGCGATTTGGCTATGTCAGACTGAATATGAATTATGCCCCAAAACAAAGTACTAATTTGCTAAATGTTCAATCAACCGATTCCACGAGTTGTTATCATCCGCTCTTAAGTCTTCGATAACTTCGTGACCTGCATTGATCAAAAATTGAACAGCATTCTCCGAATTATCATCAAAGCGAATAGGATATTCTAACCAATATTGCCAACGGCTGTAATGAGATCCCATAATAGAATGTAGTTCATCGTCCACGTTATTTTGTTGAGCTTCGAGTACGCGATGTAGTTTAGTTGCCCAAAACAGTGCACCTTGATTTGATTGCGGTCTAAGGATACTATTTACGGCATCGCCAGTTCCTAGAGACCATAAGTAAATGTTTTCTCGTTTAATACCTTGGTCGAGAGCATGTTTATATGCATATCCAGCTGGATTGTTGGCATGAACTCCACCGTCAATAAATACATGCTCTAATTTTTGCGTAGAATTAGTTTTGGTATTGTGCCTCTGATCTATTATAATCCGATGTGGAGGAAAGTAAGTAGGCGCTGCACTCGTTGCTAAAGCGACGTCTAATATCTTAAAATTCTTTCGCGGATCTTTGAGGGCCTCACAACGTGTAAAGTAAGTAGTGACAAGTAGTTGATTTTGATTGCAAGCTGGTATAGCAACATCGGTTAAAAGTTGAGATAATGTAGTATCATTGAAGTATTGGCTTAGTACATTTTTTAAGCGTTTATCGCAATATTTGTGGCTGGCAAATCCAAGCCACGATATAGTCCTTTCGTAAAATATTTCAGATGATTTATCTTTATATAAAGATAAAATGTCAGCAGCTCGATATTTTGGCTTACAGCTGTTTTCAGCTTCGGGAGTGGTAAGACCAAGTGAGATAATACCTCCTGTTGATGTTCCAGATATTAAATTAAAGTTGTAGCTAATAGGTCGGTGTGTACAGCGTTCTATTTCCGATAAAACAACTGCAGGAATAATTCCACGAATCCCTCCACCATCGATACTTAAAATATTATAAGAACTGAAGGAAGTAGAGCTCCGGCGCTGTTGGTAAGTCGTCGAGTTATAATCAAGTTGTGTTGCGTCGTATTGAAATTGACGTTGCTGATTGGAACTACGCTTAGTACACTTTTGAATTCTCGATCGTTCTCTCATAAAAATTTCATTATCGCGGTCTAATTTTAAGGCTATATTAATTACTTTAGCTGCCTTATCATAATCTTGAATGCCACGCTGTGCCTTGGCACAATAATACCAATACTGCGGTTGAGCACATAACTTTAGATTTGCAGATATCCTATCTCTTTGAGAGAGAAATCGGATTGCAGCATGATTTCGATTGCGTGCTAAATAACATTCAGCAATACGCCAACAAGCAGCCGAAGTAGGGAATAAACTTAGTGATTTAGTGTAATATTGTTTAGCCTCTTTATATTTTATCAATCGGCGTACTAAGCTTGCGGCGTCTGTTTTATTTGCCTCTATCATAAAGTGATCACCTATTCGCATTAAGATATCAGCAGCAATTATTTCGTTATTCTTAGCTGAATTTAGCTCTTTAAGTAATATCTTCAAGTTAAGATTAATGTTATGTAGAAAAACGAATTTCGGCACTCCGTTTTCTAGATAATCTGATTCTACCCCTAGGCAGATAGTTGCTATTGACTCGTGGAGTGTCGGTAGTTGATGTTTTGGGTGCATTTTAACGAAAATCGATTCTGAATTTCGTATCTTAATGACATATAGCTGAAACTGAATTCTTGTTAATTTGGATACAATTTCTAGATAAGAATATTTCAAAATACCTTCATCTAGTAGTTCATCTTCATATTTTTCCAAGAATTCTTTGGCAATAGAAGAAGATTCGGTTCGTAGTTCTTTTAGGAAGTCCATTCGCGATAAAGTAAATAAGCCATCTGATAAAATATTCAACATATTCATCATATCCACTTTACGACCTAGACTAGTAACGTAAGAATGAATAATCTTTTCGCCATCTATTTCATCGATATAGCTAGTTGGCATAGAGGCTATTGGCACTAAATTTTGAGTAGTAGTTTCTTTCTTTAGTGCTGCTGTAGGATCAAAACCTAGCGCTGATAGAAAATCTTCAACCGACGCTAGACGATATTCGGTTATGCTAAAGAATTGAAAATTCTGAGAGGTAATACTATGCATTTCAATCAGTTGTTCTTTAGCAAAATTTAAGTTATCATCTCGACCGGTGATCACATGCACTAGGGCAAAGTTTAATCTAGCTACCAATATTATTTCTTGCAAACGACTAACAAAAGGTGATTCTTCAGCATCATTCAGCTTTTCTTCAGAACCTTCATCAGCGGATCTGTCGAACAGGAAGCTTTTTGCTTGTTTTGCCAATTTCCGGACGTAATTTATAAGCATTTTACTGACTTTATTGTCTAAAGCTTCAGCAGCATCTCTTAATTGGTCACTATTGAAGACACTCTCAAAAATCTTACATGCTTCCGCTTCTAATGTAGAAGCTGGACACTTGGAAAAAGTAACTTTACCACTTATTAAAGTTTCTCCTATGATGACAAGTAAATAGGCAATGCCATCAGGGCGAAAATTATGATTCAGTAGATCTTCAATCATCTTTTTGGGCGAAATATCAATCGATCTTCCCTTGTCATAATGTATAAGGCGATAACCTGTTTCTTTCCTTTCATCATAATTTTGTGATAATTTTTCAAGGAATTGCTCGTAATCATCGCCATTATATGCTTTTATTGCGTCTGCAATTAAGTTATTTAAATTTTCACGAATTCTCGGCTCTCTTAATAACTCCACTCCTTGTTGATAAATTTTACCACCCATAAAGATGCTGAACATACCTAAAATAATACCGCCTGATACACCAATGGCTGTCCCCCATGGGCCTAATGCACTTCCAAGAACAGCACCAGTTTTTGCTACCGCTACTATGTTGGCGCAAGCCAGTCCGGCGCTACCTGCAACTACAACTCCTCCTCCTGCTTTTGCTAACGCACCTTTTGTACGAAGACTTATAGCCTCAATTTTAGCTTTCGTGATATCTTCGTTTGGGCTAGAATAAGATACTAATTTTGCTTGAGGGATCACTAATTCATTTCGAACCAGTTCAGCAATATCTTGACGAACGATGTTATGCCGCTGCTGTCGTCCTGCATAAGTAGAGATCGCAGGCAATCTTGCATTGTCTACTGCTAATGATTGGCTGTTGCGATGAACAGAAATTGTCTGACAATGAATTGGTGGCCTACTTTGAGAATTATTTTCACTTTCTGATGTAACCTCTGGTTCGGGGGGAGTATTTCCTTTATTTTGCGATTTAACCTTAGCTAATATGTCACGAATTTCCATAAATTGTGAATCAGTAGCGTCCTGACATTCCAACAAGATACGTAATGCGCCAATAGCATACAATTGCGACTCCAATGGATACTCTGCGGCACGCAAAGCCGTAGAGATGCATTTTCTTAATTCAACTTGTTGATGCTGATAACTATTGAACTTGGGCAAATCACGGTTTTGAGAAGCTAAGGTATCTATAATCTTGCAAGCAGCTCGATATTGCTGATAGCACAACTCAGCATATTTTTTTTTAATAAGAAGGTGTTCCTCTGGTGTTTTATTGACATAATCTTCACGCTTTAAAACTCTTAAGCGATCCAATTTATCTTTACCAACATTTTGCCAATCAACGACTATCGTTAAATATTCTTCTGCTTTTTTTCTATGGTAATCAGCAGCACACTCTGGTTCAGCCGAACCGACTAATCGTTCCAGTTGCTCTAAAGCGATTTGCTTCTGTTCCATTAATATCTGAAAAAATTTTTTGAAAACATCGTTATTTGGACTTTGCGGGAATCGATCAGGATGAAATTGGGAGAATAAGCGAAAGCGCTGATTGATATTTTTCTCTGTTAATTCCACATCGCCAAAGAAACTATCTCGTAACGCTGCCTCATCGCTGAGACATAACTCAACTACTTGGGCAGCTCTGTAATCTAGTAATCCTTCCATATTTTCACGAATAGCTTGTTCTCCTTTTACTGCTTCTGATAAGCGCTTCAACTCTTCTTCTAATTTATTTGGTGGCGAAGCATTTTGATCAGTTGAAGCAAGTTCTTCCTTTGCAACGTTGATATTTTCAACCAATTCTACTTTGAATTCATTCAGAGCCTTTAACACAATGTAATAATTTCTTCGTACGTCAAGAAACTTTTGTAATGTCGGAAAAGGGCTCTTTATTGATTCTATAAAATTTTTCAGTAGCTGATATAATTCATCACTGATATAAGATTGTAACTTGCTCAACACTTCGAGAAGAGTTTTAGGATCACTAGAATGCTCGATGATTTCGAATGTTTCCGTATTGCAAGATTGTATTTCACTTTCCAAATCCCGTAACTCTTGCTCAAACTTTTCAAGATATTTAGTGCTTAGTGATTTTTCATGTTCGACATTATTGTCTCTGTTGTAATGTTGGAGAAGGCTTACCTTCATAGAATGATATTTCATACGATAGTAATAGTAAGTAAGGTCGTCTCTCCCTTCAAGCTCATCTATATCAGCTTTAAGACGAGCCAATTGTTTCTCAAACTCTTCTTCGTCATTTATTCCATCAGAAATGATACCATCAATTTCTTGTAATTTAAGATCCAAGGTATGATTTATAACGCTTTCTTGAGGTACATCACGATGACGGTCAGTCATGATGATTCTATTGTTTCTTTCTGAAACAGCTGTATTTAAGAAAATGGATTAAGATTTTAATCGATGGCAATATTTTGTTACTCAAACTGTAGGAGTTGCCGAAATTTTACTAATGAAGTCAATTAGCTTATCAAGTAACTGGCACTCTGGGACAGCAACAATAGCATAAATGTGTGGGTTACTTTTATAACTACTATTACTTAAGAGAAATAACTGCCACTTAACGGCATTATGATAACCACAGTAATCGAAATGGTTTACAATTCTGAATAAAAATACCTTCAGCAGCGATAAGATGGAAGATTATCTTTTCTTCTTAATAACTATGAATATTCAGTTTTGGGATTACTTTAAGGTTTTACAGCTACGGTAGTAATTTCTTTTTATTCGGTATTTTAGCGTTATAGCTGATCTTTGAAATTTATCTTTCGACGGAGAGCCTTTGAAGTGCTCCTAAATGAAATAAAATCCTGTCTTGTTTTATTTATTTTCGAAGCTTTGGTAAGGTCAATTACAGAGGTTACCGTACTTCCTGGTTTTGATATTTTCGATTCAAACAATGATCCTTAACACGCCTTCTGAGATGATTTGCATAGCAGCGGTCATTTTAATTTATACAATGCTGAACGATAGAATCACTGCTGTGACTAATTCAAAGGAACGGAAAGTTAATTTCAGCCACAAAACTATTTCCCGAAAGTAAGGAGTAAAACAAATAGGGTTTATGACATCATCAATTTGGGAGTTACTTTCCAATTTTGTTTGGTTTCTAGTTGAAGTGATAAGATCCCAAGATGCTTTGTACACTATTCTTCAGTGATACTTTTAGTTAGGGTAATTAATACTACGGCTAATTAACTTAACTTAACTAGATCTTCTGATCGAGCCAAGTGCTGTTCAAGAAAGGTTTTGATACTTCTTAAGAAGCGGTTGATGCCTATCGGCGTCACCATTTTAGCTACAACGTTAGAATAAGGTTTTCATTCTAAAATAATATTCCATTCGATAATAATAATTTAATTCGCGGGTTCATTCTAAATCATCTGTGCCTGATCTGAACTCTTTCAACTACCAATTCAATTTACTTTCGTTGAATAGTTCTGCTATCAAGTTATCATCAATCATGATTAACTTATCCTGTAATACGGGGATTTTGTAGTGTTTTGGCGGTAGATAATCAAGCGATATCATTCTTTTTAATACTTTGGAAATCAATAAACTATCCGAGATAGATAAACAAACGAGCATTTAAAGAGTAAATTAGCGTGTTCGGGAGATTTAAGCGTTTACATAAGATGGCATATAGTTTCATCTGGCGATGATATTTCCGTATGAATTAAAAATAAAACCTTGAAATAGACCAGAATGGTATCTATGTCTGGTGCCTTCATCAAAAAAGAATCATACAAAAATCTCACTCAATTCTTAAAACATTTAAATGATCCTTTGAAATCATTCTCAGAGATGATCGATGTAAGGAGCAAATTTTGTTCTATAAGGCTAATTTTAGATGATATTCGATCAAATTGAATAGAGAATATTTAACTAATAAGAACCAGTCTGCACAAACTGAACAACTTCTAAAAGATGTGGAAGAATTTCGTATGAATTTAGATTATTTAGTAGACATGAGAATTATACGTGTAGCTGAATTAAGTTTAAAAGATGAGACAGCGCTACAAAGAAATTTCTTCCATGATATTGAGTTAACCCAAGAAAGTATTAATAAAATATTTGACATATATGCACGTTTCGTCCACCCTGATAAATTTAATGCTTATCTCAGGTATCATGATGTCGTCAATACAGTGATGCAACTATTAAATCGAGAGAAATAGTCGGTTTACAACATGTGAGTATACAGTTAGCTATCCATGAACGGATTGAAATGCATAAGAGTCAAGGAGATAAATATCTACAACGTCTCATTGAATGGCAAAATGAGGTTAAAGATCAATTCCAACGCCTAAGAGTGTTAAAGCCTGAAGATTACAAAGGTACGGATAAAGAACAAATTTACAAGCAAAAATAATATTATGCAGATAAGGCCTATCAGGAATATCGATCTGTGGGCCGGCTAATCGATGAATTAGCGGTTGAAAATATCAATTTATCGCATACTGATTGCATGTGTTGAAAGCACGAACAAGTTAATATTCGAAAAAATAGCAATAGTTTCGCGTGTCGCAGAGGACTTTCTCGGGTCGTAGTTGTACGCCATTGGTGTCCTTCGTATCGTAACCTACTGCTTTCACAAGTATGAAATAGTGGATAAGGAGATTCAAGAAATTGAAAAGATTCTGTCTACAGTTCAATCCAAGTGTAAAGAAAATAATTCTCAACCGCATAGCGAACTACCCATCGCCACTCAAGTCATTACAAAAATACTATCAGCGGAGATTCTACGACAATTTTCCCAACACCACTGTGTAATAGCCAGAAATACAACAGTTGGAAGCTTAACTCGCCGACTTTTACACTATAATGAGTCCAAACGTTACTACATTAAATCGTTAAGCTTATATCCTACACTTGCAGCATGCTGGAGCATTACGGAGTGCGATTTAATCTGTAGTCGAAACAAAGCGGCAATAGATTTTCTAACGTATCGTTGCCTGAGGCCTGAAATCTAAAATTATCGTCGGAACCCCAGTTATGGTATTATTTAGCAAGGGCTTATCGAGGCCTGCAGCAGTTTGATGTTGCAGCTAAAGTGATTAATAAGGCTTTAAGTTTAGACCCATGTAATAAGGCTTTCAATAAAGAAAAATCGAGACTTATAAATATACAAAAAGTGGCCTAAATAAAAAGCGCCTATCGCAGCATGATATTTCCCAGCTTGACAAGGTAATTTATTGAAGACGCCTGGACTTATCTTCAACCAGTGCCTATAGTATCTTTAAGTATTGATGGTGGAGGTATTCGAGGAATTATTCCGGTAGTTGTTTTAAGCGAAGTGGAACTATGTACGCATCGACCCATCAGTCATATCTTTAATTTAATATCCGCGACATCAACAGGAGACATTATCGCACCCGGTCTTACCATTCCTAAATGTCGTTGGAATTGTAACCCGAAATATCAAGCCGCTGATATTTTATCGTTATATAGAGACGAATTGCATGATATATTTCGTAAAAGACCAGCATTGCATATACTTTTCAACTTTAAAAGTCATAACTATAGTGGTACACGTTTAAAAGATAAATTCGATTCCTATTTCGGTGATATTAAGTTATCTGAACCTTTAGTCGATGTTGATATACCAGCCTACAATTAAACAGAACTAGTCTTGACAATTTATTTTACACGTAGCGAGGACTTAAAGACATCCACTAAAGAATTTTAGAGTATTAGATGTCTCCTTAGCAACCACCGCCGCTCCTACCTATTTTACTTCGCATAGATCGATCAAGAATATGGAAACGAAGCTTACGAATATGATGCGAAACCATCAAAAGTCTTCATAGATGGCAAAGTTCATGCTAATAATCCGGCTGGTTATTGCTATAAATATGCTCTTGATCAAGGTATTAAGAAAGAAAATATCTACATGTCGTCATTGGGAACAGGCGATTGTGTTGATGGTATTCTTTGGCCGAAAAAAACACCAAGGTAAATTATTTTGGGCAGCGAACTGGCATCATGTACTCAATGCTCAGCAAACAACATAGGTGATCAACTTTTATTCCGTTATGGGATATCGTTGTAGGCGTTGGCAATATTGATTGGAGAATCCTGTCCAATTAGATGATATATCTGATGATAGTATCAATTTTTTGATCAAGGCTGGTCAGGAACTTATCGAAGATTTAAGATCCGATGATAATAATTCGTAGAATCGAATGATTGAACATTTAACTAAATCTTAATTAAGTTTATCATAGCACTATACAGACATGATTACTTTGTAACAACAGCTTCGTCCCTTAATCAATTGAGCTGCCAGCAAGTCTAGTATCATAGTATTAAAATATAGTTTACAATATAGAGAGGAATTGCAAGGAAGTTGGCAGCTCAGTTCTTACTCTTTATGCGAGAAAGAATAAATCTGAGATAGCCCGGTACAATGGCAAATAGGAAAATCGTGTTTCATTAATTTCTAATACCAAAGTGACTTCAACTGTTAACTTTAGTAATAAAATACGTTATCTTTTTATAATAGTTAATCATAAAAAGAAGTATATTATTACGGGAAATTCATTTAACTATTAGGATTTGTTCAGCAACCAATACAAGAAATGATAATTTTACTCAGATATATTGGCAAGATTATCTTTAGACTTTAATATCGATCCATCGCCTCTACTCTACCAACTTGGCTTTAAGATGCTAAATCATTGAAAAATTTTCTAAATCATCGTTTACAAATTTATTAACATCTTACTCCGGTATTAAATATGAATACCATTAGGTAGAAACCTAGGAAGCTTTTAGTTATTGCTCCATTTTGTCAATAATGCCGCAAACTAAATAGAATCCTAAATTTAAAGCCATTATTGCTATCTTGCAATTGGGTGATTCATATACCCCATTGCAAATGATTTTTTATAGTTAGAAGCCACAATTTTTGCATTGATAATAATATTGCTATACTCGTATAATACTTTCGTATACTTTCTTAGTAGCTTGACTTGCATTACATTCAATCTAGCTTACATAGTGTTGTAGTCAAGCCATAAATTGTTATTTCTGAGTGGTATCAGCTCAAAAGTAATTAAATTTGTCGATCCAATTTTGCGATTCTATGATGGCTTTGCTAGAATTTAGTTAATTAAATCAAGGAATTTTACGAGTTATACTATTGAAATGCTTGCAGAATAAAGTGGGTATACTATCATACATGTTTTAAGGAAGTAACAATACTAGTTTCATACTCATCTTTCGATTGCGTAGTTTAGTTGAGGAATCATTCGATCATCTTTAATGTGTGCTTACTGTAGCAATCGCTAGCAAACAATTTGAAATAAGTCGATTCTCGAGCATCATTCAGGCAGCATCCGCAGACGCCATCTTAACCAATTTTTGATAAGAATAAACAATTGTGTCAATTGTTTTGGCATGATTATCTTAGACTTTAATATCAAAATATTTATGATTTTCCCAATTTTAGAATTTATAGGTTATTGGTTAGATTACCGCAGAGGGCTGTACTCTATGCTTGTATAGTAAAATCTTGCATTTAACGTCTATGATGATATCTTTGGATAATTATGTTTACATTGGCCTAAACGAACAATGCTGTGTGATCCTTAGATTGATTTGCTGTTGGAATTAAGCCTAACCAATTATATACTATGCTGCAGTTATGACATAACAGACAACAAAAATACACTCACGTTACTACTAACGGAGCACGCTAACAGGTTTATTGTTCATTTCTTTCCAATACATTGTGTTAGACACAATTTAAATATAATATGGAAAACCAAATCAATTCCAAAAAGAATCGCACAATTAATTCTTTTGAATTTAAATGAAAATTACAGCCAGAACGATATTTAACTAAAAATAATTATTAGGAATATGAAATGTTATTAGTATTTAATTACAATTATATGAGTAAAGGTTCATAGAGTCATGCAGCTTACCGGTCAATCACACAAAATGATGAAAAGATTACTACATTGACAAACATCTATTGATTCTAATATAAGCCGTTTGTAAGAATAACGTCGCCTAAAACGACATTTTGTACTCTAATGCCATATTTCGAATCAAAGATATCTGTATTCATTAAGGAATTATTATGAGAAAACAGATAGGCATAGAATTTATAGAGCAACCATAGCGATTCATTCTAGTCTGTCTATTTATCATTCAATTTTAAGTTAAGACAACGCTATTGCGAAAGCATCACTAATACGCTCTTAGCGCTAGTTTTAGCTTGCATTATCTTCAGAAAATTGTTATATTAAATTATCACAAGAAAGCAGCTATTTCTCTTCAGTTGTACATTATTCACTATATCTTTGTCTAAAAGTGCTGTAGCACTAAGGTAAATTAAAATTGTATCATAAATCTTTTTTAATTCTTACTTTTAATATTATTACATATTTTAATGAAACTGGATGGCTCCTGGATCTTGGTCAGTTGATGCAGCAATATGCCTTAAAATATCCTTCTTAGTAATAAGACCCATTACACGCCTAAGGCAATAAGATGATATAGATCGTAATAGGTACATAGCTCAAAATAATACATTCAATCTAATACACCTACCCCTTGTGAATAACTAGAACTTTGCGTGTACCCAACATACGAAATATATCCAACACAGTATCAAAAGATGTCTCCAGGGTAACCTGTAGCGGAGTCTTCAATAAAGTTATTGGGACAATTAAAAGTCTCAATAATTTCGAAATTGCTTAATCTTCTAATTAAAGAACGGTATACTTTATCCGATAACATACCAGATCAACAATTTCTTTAAGCAGTAGTGGAGATGGATCATGTTGCGCAGGTATTTTATCGGAAAAGTACACTTTAGATTCTACGGTTATATTACTATTCGTTTCTAAGGCAAAATCTGTATTTGAAGTTAAGCATGGACAACCATCAGTAAAATTTCATCATTAATTGTAACAACGTACATATAGCATTACCGAGACGATGTTTCAAATCTTTCCTAGTAATAAAACCGATCAATTGTTGTGATTCGCTTGAATAAACAAGTGGATATCCTTGATAGGGGCATTCCTGCATTAATTCAACTGCAGACAATATCCCGTATACAGATAAAGGTTAGTTTGTATTTCTTTCGGTTTTGAAATTGATAATTCAACTCAATTACTAACGCAATGATCCAACAGTGTTTCCATTGTAATTGATAGTCACAAGTATAGTGGGTTTACTGCGAAAATAAGATATTAAAGGGTTTAGTTCTCTGCTTTTTACAAAATCGAAGTGATAAAGAATCTTGCCAAAGTAATGTACCGTGGCTGCATAATCTCCGAAGCATTGGCAGTGAATTTAACTTCTTCTTTGCTATCTAAGAACGGATATCCATTCAATCGAATGTGGCCGTCGTAGCTGTATAGAAGTTAAAGTTTCTTGTTTGTGTTGAATATGTAAGCTTTAAATAAACACACTAAAACTATGCAAATGCTATTGATAGGATACATTCCTCCCTCGACGAAAGCATCGCCAACCCATTTACTAGTCATTACAGCAAACATAATCGGAACAATATACTGCAAGCCGCCGGTCAATTCAAACATTATGACCACCAATGATACTAGTTTGCAATATCAATAGAATCATCTTCAATGTTTTGAAACTGTTCAAAAATTATCCTACTCAACCTACAGTATATTCTACTCCATACTCATAGAACAAAAAAAGTTTAAGGTTATACCTGTCATCTTAGTAACGCCACCTAGAGTTGCTGCAGCTCCAACCATTGAATAAAGGCCAGGTTGAACGCAAACACGGCCAGGATGACACGCCAATTTGAAAAAGAAAGTATCAGGATTGTAGCTATTGAGAAATATTAAATCAACTTTAAGAATATCTCAATCATTGTAAGGTGCTTAGAAACATTCAATACAGTTCTGTTAAGGTCATCTGCTTTAAGAAATTGACACTTACTAGTACCATTGCTCCATTGCCACTCCCAATATGCGACCAAAGCAAGCACCAACAGCCATGCTGGGAATAAATAATCCAGCAGGTATCTACAGTACGTTAACAATATTATATCATTTTATTACAATCAGGCTTCGCCAAAAGATGATTGCTATTGGTTGTACCTTAATACCAAAGGTAAAAATAGTGACGAAAGCTTTTAATAGCATGGCAAGAGCCAGTAACCATAATGATCGTAAGACTTGCGGTCCAGCAGGAAGAGTAGGAAAGTTTGCTCTATCATTTGTGTTAATGACATAGGTCCCATTATTGATGTAATTGCTGTCGATTAATAGGTGTAGGTACATAAGAATTGCTCAGTAATCTGGCATAGCTAATCTTGTGAAGATAGTACAGTATAATGAATGCAGCATTTGTAAACTAACCATAAAGGAGTCGAATCCGATTGATCGCACTGCTGAAATAGGTGACGTATCAAGCTGCTGGTATTTTCTCTAATTTATTCCAAAGTATGGTGGTCAAATAAGCGATTATTACATTTTAAAATATGATTCAGTAAATTATCTTTAGCAATCGCTACTTACTTTGTATAAGGATTTAAATAGCTTAAAAGCGCAGTAACAACCGTGACAACCACAACCTTGATGACAGGATAAGGCCATTAGCAAAGTTGTATGATAAACTGAAGGTAAAGAGTTATTGTAAATTCACAGAAATCGTATGTAGTATAAACCTCTGCAACTGGAAAGCGTTTCAGTGCACTATTTTTGCGAAAGTTAGACCACATAATATTAAATTTAATAAAAAATGCGCCATATAAGCCCTAGGCCATTAAATCAATTGGGGTTGTAATTAAATAGGTTAGTTTATAGAAATAGCGGCACGAAATTGACGAAACAAAATAAGCACATATACCCCAAATATTCCCAAAACGATGAAAGGAATTAGTTCAAATAAATGCCACACCATATCGTAGCTGACTTCAAACCTAACAAGGTGGCCATTACCGTAAGGATTTATATAACTTAGAACTATAGCTGCCATTAATGCAGAAAAGAATGAACGCCACATTGTTTTCAGGGGGAAGTAGTAGCTAACCTATGGTACATAGCAAATAAATTGCAGATAAGACTAGAATAGCCAATTTAAATAGAGCGTCCCTATAAGAAGATATAATTTTTCACGAGTACTTTTCACAGTACTTCTATAACGTGATTATTTATGTAACAAGGCTTACAGGTTATGAATAGTTTAAGGAATAAAATTTATGTACTACCTCTTCAAGACTAAAAAGTATCCCCCCAATTGGGGCTCCAAAAGCAACAGAAACTCCAGCAGCAGCAGCAGCAGATAATATCTAGGTTGAAAGTTTAGTTTCAATACAGAAGTGCGTTGTATATTGCCAATTAACATTATAAGATACAAATGGGCCCGAGTAGAACACTGTTAACATAACATCTCTATTTATCGCTTAGGCATTACTATAGCTGTCAAGTTCGAAAGATATAGCTGCTAATGTACATGTAATGCTTTACCTCTCGCTTTTTTACTTCATTTTGACGGTATTTTGGAAATAGACGACAAAGCATGTTGCCGCAGCAGCTTGCAACATGTACCAGTGGACCTTCTTTACCAAGGCTTAGTCCTGCGGACACAACCATCATCATAGTTAACGATTTGATCAACAGTACCCATTTACCGAGGTAACTCCTAATGACAAAACCACTAAGTATGGTTTTTATCTGCAAAATGGATTAATTAAAGAAACGAATGCATAAGAATAAATGATTTCCAACTTACAGGCTATTATTTTACTGTCACAACTATATTGACACAAAACAGTGCTAAGCAGGACTAATATGTAGCAGCAATATAGTCAATAAAGAAATAACTTTATAGTATATGAAAAAAGTCAAAAAGTAAATCTTCCGTTAACCTCGGGTATTCCACTACCACATGCGTATGGAGCTAAATCGCGAACAAGTACAGCAGCAAGAAAGCCAAGCAAGAATGAAACCAATACATAGACAAAATATTCAAATGCAAATATGGAAGCCGAAGAGGACATGATGCCAAATATTTGAGACCAACTCAACCATTCTGGACAGTCATTATCTGCAGTAGTGAGATTAGACGACCAACAACATGCTTTCTTATTTAACCAAAACCGTTGCGGACAAACGCCTGTATTAATAATCAATGATAATATTCGCTCAATTTAATCAAAGCGTAACATGGATTGAGTGTTACTTCCTTCCTTATTGCTTGGCAGTTAAATAAGTGCAATATCAACAGCAACACCCTTAAATACCAGGGTATTTACTTGTTCTCATCAGCATACTCACCTAATCGCAAATCTGTCATCCATTCGGTTCCAATATCGATTAATCCTGCACATAAGCCAGATAATATACCAACACCACTAACAATTAGCCAGCCTAGTGATTATGTATGAACCATGTCAACATTTCAGTTAAACAGATTAGATAAGCTGTAATACTTTTTTTACAGCGAAAACCTGTCAATATCTAATTATACTACTCATAGCCCCTCTGCCCATATTCAAATTTTGTTCATTCTATATAAACTGGTTGTTGCTATGAATATGAATCCATTTATCTTTGAATTTGAATTGCTATGACAAAGTAAAGCAATTGTTTCCATCAAATCAGCATTCATATTATGATCAATGATGCAGAAACTTTCTATTGCCTTTTAACATCTACTAAAGCCTATTGGTTAGCTTTGTTGGTACTGCAATGTATCGAAAGTTACAGAATTACTTTTTATCTAGTACGAATGATGGTTATTGTAAGATAAGAGTAGTAAAGTACTGTGTTGTATCAGGTTGTATCGCAATATCATCACCATTGGTCATGCAAGAGTCTATTTTGCTACGAACGTATTCCAGGTTATTTCATAGTTTTACGTCAAACCTCGTATATCAATAGGCAAAAACAGTCTATCTATTCGCAGTAATAGATAAACATGTTGGCAATGGCAAGAGATAACATAGTAATAGGAGTTTTACTGCGATGCATTTCAGTGTCCTCGATACCATAAGTTGTCAGGGGCCAATATTGCCAATGATCTATTTCGAAGTTCATATGACTAGCTAGCTTTATTTGTAAGATTACGTTTACGACTATTTATCGGCTTTATTAGTCAAGTTACGATGAATAGAACAGCTTATTGCTACTCAGTACGATCGTTGTTGCAGGATAAGAGTGAAGATCAAGTTGTATCTCAGCATAATCTCTACAGTTTGACGTACTGATATCGGCTGAATTGCACTTAAACATATGATGATAAATTGCACAGACAATTAGAATTTACTGAGATAACTTAGCGGATCGATCAATCAATGATGAATGAGAGACGTTATTTTATCCGTAGTGCAATCAAGAAGAACCCGTACTCGTACAACAGCAACATCACCCAATCAGTTATTGTAACCTACCAGACCAGGCATCATGACTGGAAACAATCCAGTTCCACCATCCTTTCTTTTCATCGAATTTGAGAGATCGATGGCGCTTAAGATACCTCGTCCTATCACGAACCCAATCAATGGTCGTAAAATCGTCGTATTCCTTTCGATTAAAACGATGATAATGTTCATAGGGATCAATATGAGCGCCACTATGACGATTGATAGCCCGATTGGTGTCTAGTATTTCTTCATCGTCTTGCATCATCTGACCAGTTTGGTTACCACTCCCATTGTGTTGTCTTGAATCCTCTTGATCGGATTGACGGCTTAATATTAAATCATCGTCATCTTGCAGGCGGTTATCGCTGTCATTGATAATCAATAACTGAGTATCATTCTCCATGATGAATACGTTGACTCGGAGTTAATTTCTGATATTGATCAATCAGTTATTTTACCAATGCTGTCGACTGGATGATGTACTCGTATTCTCGATCAATGTATCCTGAATGAATTAAGTGGGACCAATCGCCGCTAAGCCTAGACTCACTTTCTTTCGACCTTGGCTACTTGCACCTTTGCCAATCTATCTTGACTATTTCCCGCCTAGCCTGTATTCAACACTAATGGATGAAATGGCGTACTAAGTAGATTGGATTTAATCACTTACTGGATATCAACCACTGCGACCTGATTTGTTGAAGGCAATATCGAGCCATTACTTACACCAGAATTTAGGTCAAGCTTTTCCACTTTCTGACTGCTGCCTCCTGTCATTGGTCGTACAATGTACAGTGTACAGTACTGGGAACTACAGTACTAGAAAAGAAGAGAAGGACTCAACACCGGCATAAATTGGGCAGGCCGACTTTTTTGACAGTTATTTCCCTGTACGCTACGACTGTAATCGTACACGGCAGTGTGCAAAACTCACCTGGCAGCTATTTTGGAGCGGCTACACAACAATTGTACTGTAGACTGTCAGGTCTCGTAGGGTGACTCGTCTTTGGAGTAGTCTCTGACCCTGACAGTACGATGTACTGTACAATTGTACTGTGCATTGTACAGAACCGTACTGTACTTTACTGCAGTACATGTAGGTACGTCTGTCTGTCTGGTATTAGTATGAGCTTGGGTGGCTGTGCGTACTGAAAGCACGGCCAGCAACGGTACTGTACTGTACTGCTAGCATGTCGTGCTTCGGATTCCACTTGCGCTCATCATGAAAGTGACGTCACCTTGGTTGATAAAGTACTGCAGTCCGTACGGTGGAAAAGAGGCACGAACTACAATGTACAGTAGTCAAATCAACGTACTGTACACTGTAATACTACAGTATACAGTACTGTACACTATCCTTTAAACTACTGTACCGTACTGTACCATGCACTGTACAGTACGGTACCAGCGACCCTGCTGGCATGACGTGCTTCAGATTCCAATAGCACTCGTACTGTACTGATAGTGACCTTCGTTTGATTGAGGCGTAACTGTCAATTAGAGTACTGTATCCTATCCTCAAAGCCTGACATGACCACATGACCAGTTCATTATGCATCATTGAAATGACCATGCGTAGTGACTGTCCTCCTGTATGACACCGGTTAACGTCGACAATATTATTATGATTTCCAGATAGAGATTTCTCTGCTCGGCCATGGACTGCTGGATGCTAATCCATATACTGCAACAGGGATGATCGTGATTGAACTTCTATTTCATCTTTTTGTTGATCAATACTTAAGTTAGTATATCCCTAACTGGAGAGAAAGCATGGGCCGCTTTTTCCATGATACACAGTGAGTATTGAATGTGAAAACGATGAAAAATGACGTTGAATAGTGGCTGCCATGATTGCGTATGCAGCCATGATCGCGTCTATTTCCAGCACTATTCGACAATACCATGACAACACAAACAATATTTGATTGGCACTTCTACTACTGGCACCTTAAGTGTCAATAAACTTGACTAGGCCGACGGAATGGAGCACCGATGCATCATAATTACTCAGCATTAGTCTGCAGTATTCTGCATGGAAAGTGTTCTCGGTGTTAGAGGGGGAAAAAAAAGAAATTGGAAGTTTAATTACTAGTATTCTTGATAGGATGTTGTCATCCATTTAGTCGATCATAGCTAGAATAAAATGTCCTGCGAGAATGCACTTGCTACCAAGAACGAAGACGATCGTTGGCTAACGATCAGATGGAGTGGATAAAATAGGAGACTAACTATTGCAAAGACTTAAAAGATACGGTCTATATTCATTGATGCCAAGTCATGCAGTCAAGAGGAAGAATTGTTCCATTCTCAATTGACATCACCGTAGTAGTAATATCGATTCGATGGACACCAACAACATCCAATGAATACGGATGATTTCAATCTCAGAGATTTGTTGTCATGCTGAGTAGATCGAGATAGAGTATTACTTTATTGATTCGATAAACGAAGCACGAATAACAATCTTGAATAAGCAGAACGATTACAAGGAGAATAGAAATCACTTTGTACTATCCGACAATACAGGAACAACCTGTTTGCAAGATAGGGAAGATTGATTAATGGATTGATTTCAAGTTAATGAATACACTATTACTACCACGGGCTAGTAACAAAATAGTGTTGCAATCTCATCAAAAAGTTTCTTCTTGACTTGGTAAAATTCAATTCAACCTTAGCTGGCCTAATACCATTAGCATACACAAAAATCTGTTTCAACAATAAGATGGAATACAACTTCAGATAAATGCACTTCTTACATGGGTTATATTATGGAATACTTAAGGGGATCTCTACTTTCTCTATTCACTAGTAAACCTTTTACGTTATTACCTAGGCAAATGAATCAGTGAAAGATTTCTCTAATAGTCAATACTTAAAATTACATCAGCTACATTTAAAATTTGTATTGTCAACAGTAAAAGGTAGTAGTTGAGCGATTGACTCAGTGAAAGATTCCTCTAATAGTCAATACTTAAAATACAGCAGCTACATTTAAAATTTGTATTGTCAACAGTAAAAGGTAGTAGTTGAGCGATTGACTGCCATGCTACGACAATATCAATGAATACTTTTCTAAGCCTACTCATATTTTAGACTTACCTTAAATGGGTCAATTAATCTTGCCCAGCTATTTTCATGTATTCCTTAAAGTTTTCAATAAGTTTGCTTTCATCAGCCCCAATAACTGTTGCTTTCTGTCAGGGTAAAAGTTGTAGACAGTTACAGCAAGTAGGAGCACGGTTAATACGTTATCATAGCGTAAAATCTCATACATTAAATTAAACTAAGGTTAATCTTTCCGCGTGAAAAGTTATTGCTATAAGTGATCAACAGCGGAATACCTTTTCCCCTTTAATATAAAACAGGAATGTCGGCATGCTCCTGATACCACAGGTTTCGGTAGTCTCCTATTTTAGGGGAAAAATGGATCAATTTTAGCGATTAAAGCCCAATAGTGACTGGACGGAATAGCCTAAACCAACACTGTAGATTAAAAGCTATAATTTTGCCATGAAGTAGAGAAATTAGACTGCTACAATCATATTATAGATTCCTGGCAAAAACTGACCACTGCAATAAGTGTCACCTAACGATACATCTAGATTGTAGATGATCCTGTTTTTTCGCTATAACTAAAAGCTGTTTACCGTGTAGAAGCTCTATCGATATGTTGCAATAACCGTTGACATAGTTAGCAACAACGTATAACAGTAACTACCAATACTTACACTATTTTCATCAACATCGACCTTCAGAAAGACAACATTGCTATATTCTGGGTCATCACTCATTTCCTAGAAATGAACAAAGTGGGAGGGCAAAAATAAGACGAAGAAACTATTACGACTTCATGGCCTACGGTACTACAACTGAAGCAGTCATTGTAATTGAAGTAAAATTGATCTCAAAGTAAAACCTCAAACTTTGGGCTTATCTTGCGACATGGTCCACACCAGTCTGCATAAAAATCGATAACAACCAATTTGCCACCAGCGGCTGCAAGGGCGCTATCAAAATCCTCCTAGTTAAACGTTACAACAACATGGTTACGAACCATAATTCCAATATGACAAGGCTTAGCATAATGGCATATCCCACAATTTTTTCCATTACAAAAAATATCAATCCTTCCTCTTGGATATGGACAAAATTCGATGATCATTGTAGGCTACGCACTTTCAGTAAAATTAGATAATGCTACTGACAGGCTTTCATAAATTAGAAAGGTCAATTCCAAAGGTTTAATAGCGAGAAATGCGAAGATTGATATCTTACCTTGGTTTTTACAGGCTTAACCACCATCTTGTCGATCGTTGACCTAACAAATAATGCTACGAAAGATAGGCTATCGTTACCTATATCACAGCTTCTCAACGCCCAACAATAGACTGATTAGCTGTAAATCATACATTAAAAATGCGCATTAAATCAAAACTTATTTCTCCTCTATGCCAATAAGTCTATTCTTTTACTGACTTTATCATTTTTATTTAAATTACTTCTTCTCTTTGAAAGAGAGTCTGAAAAGTTTTCTCCACGCCCCTTCTCCAATGTTGCCTCAAGGTACTTCATGTTTTCTCCCCTCCATCAATTAAAAAGCATAATATGATATGGTAGCATTGATTGCTGTCTAATGCACAATTTATTATCCAATATTTAGTATTTAAATGTTGCTAATCTATCTAGTACAACATTTTGGTAGAATGTTTTCTCGTAAACGATAATGTGCAACATTATACTCTCTTTAAAACATGATTTGATATAATTAAATGCATATTTTACATATAATTAAATGCATATTTTAGATATACATAAACCGCACTCAAATGCAGCACTGGTGTAGATCGTTATATCTCCCATTGGCTTATCACCGACCTATACTTCAGGATACTTAGCTGCTGAATAAGTATTTTCCGTATAGTTTTACCGCAATACTTATGCTATGAAATCATACTAGCTACAATCAACATTTACCTTATTAAAATATACATTTCTACACAACATACTATCACTGTATTCTCGTACACATAACTACCGTAATTCACTAAATTTTATTACAATTCATGACCGTTTTCGTGGATAATGGGAACAGTATTCGATCAAAAAGGAATCAATCCAATGCATAATTATAATTATGACACACTTCAATCGCAAAATACTTTAGCATGCTGTACCTCGAACACAGTTTCGCATTTTTGAGATTAAGCTGTGTAAAAGCAATTATTGACATGTCCAGCATTATAGCTAGATCAAAATGAGTGAGTATCATTGGTGGCTTTGCAAATAACTCAATTTTCTGAAACTCATATTCCTTGTCTTTAATGTAGTCATCAGAAGATTTCTATTGATAAATTTCTGCAATGAGATTTGATGCAATAAAAATAGAATGCAAGCTAAACCGACTAGAAATGTAGTATACGGTATACGAATATTTTTCTTGAAGTGTGTTAGCAAATCTTCTCTTTGCATACGTAAGCTAATGTTATGAATTGCATATTTGCTATAAAAATAATTAAAACGATGTTGATAGGGTTAAGCCTTTTTACAATTTTGTAATATTTGTTATATATTGAAGCTGATAAATTGCTATATCACCCAGATATCAGCTATCACTGTCACTGTTTATTGTAGTATGAAGTTAATTAATCACCAGGGACTTCTCGAAATTTCAGGGAAAATAAATGAGAAATTCCTATAATTAATAAATTTGATATAACTGTATGAGTTATATCAGGATTTGTTAGACTACTGAAGCCGTACTTGATCTATGGATATGGAGAGAGATCTGTATGTTAGTAAATCAATGATGACAAGAATCAGGAATTAAATAGAATTAGAGTTCGTCATTTTCGATTCGATGTTACGATCAAATGATACGGGATATATCCCGCTGGAATTGGTTATGAGAAAAGAAATCAGTAAAGGAGCTAAATCATACAGCATACTGTATAATTGGGCCTTCAGTCGGAGTAGCTCCTGCTATTAGCCAATACAATAACATCACTCCATCTAGGTATTTACTGAACTGTGTTTACATTTACAAAAACCCTATATTAAATTTGCAACAAAGACATTTCTAAATTCCCTGACAGCAAGTAGAAAGATACTAATCATATTCGCGAGATCTGTATATGCGCGTAATTATACAATAAAGGAAATGTGACAGAAAGAGCAATCAATATGATACAACTGTTAAATAGCTAAATTTCGATATCTGTGATCAGAAGAGGAAAAGTGGTAACATTAGACAGTTTTGGACCAGTATAAACAAACGTAGCCGTAATGATGCAAATAGCAATAGTTGATATCGAGGTTAATTTAGGTAAGATTAAAATGCGACTGTATATATACTCACACAGTTTTGATCCACATATGTGCACGTCTTAAAATCTTAAAACTATATAAAGGGCTAGATATCTTACTTATAAAAAAGTCTCCGTTAAGTTCGTGTAAAGAACACTATGCAACTCCACTACCTGGTTCAATAAAAGCCTAGACCTTAAACGCTCTTATTTATCTGTTACTGGCAGTGGATATTAGAACAAGTTAATTTCCCCCACTGTAGGCCAGTGAGAGTGAAACTAAGATCAACTAGGAGTAGAGAGTACAATTTTGGTCTACTCACAAAGGCTGACTAGTGACAAAACATATACGTATATATATATAATATCACATTGAATGGAAGCAGTTTAGATTTTAAAATCTTTAGTATGAAAGATGATTGATGTGGACAACATGACCGCGTCCAGGCAAATTCAACGTGCTGGTTTCTGAAGATTAGTGATTACTTTGAATCATCAGGTAATACTAATTCATCTATCTACCTATTTGCTATTTTACTGCTTAAATTACCTCCTACGATGATTTTAAAGAAAAAGAGGAATTGGCTATCCACTGATGTAAATTTTTTCGCATAAATTAAGCGATCTGCTTAATTTAAACTATGAAGTTATCTTCTTCCCTAGCGGGGTTAATGACAATCTGCCTCAAAATTATATACTATTATCTTCTTTTCGTTATAAGTAGGATGAAATTCATATCTAAATTACGTTCGTCCTACTGTCTTTCTTCTCATGCTAAACGTTAGAGTTAGATTGAATATCTACATTCGTACTAGATCTGTTCCCTTCCTCCTTATATACAATGCATGTTTCAGCTATTCCTAAGTGATAGTATAATGTACTCATCGGGTTTTAAAGGAAATATTGCATATCAAATTTAGTAAGCGAAAACGAGCTTTAAAGTAATTTTTATGCATCGATATGATATTCACAAGACCATCGTGAAGCACTGTACTAGGTATTGTTGAATTTTGTATTTTTACTTTTATTAAAACTAAAAAAGTTACTGTTTCCACCTTCTAAGTCATTTTACGCAGTAAATTCGAGACCCGAAGCAAATGATTCAAATTCTTTTCATAGTTTAAACTTTAATTTACTGGAAAAAATGAAAATTTGCATCATTAATACTTCAAGACACTTACATAGTCTAATTAAATGTCATTTTTCATCAGTGACATTCATTTTTACATAGTTACTCTCAAAACTGATAAGTTTTCTTTGCAAAGATCGCTTCTTTCCCTTTGTGTTTTTCAATTACACTTTTAAGTTGTACTTCGTTTGCTCCAACAACTTCGTCAACCTGTACAGATAAAATTTTAATACTGACAAGTAAGATTGATGACATGAAAGGTTATATTGATGCAATCTTTTTATGTGAAATAGTTAAGGCTTTATGTCAAAGTACTCGTTATGAAATACCTTTTCTCCACTTTTGTAAAACTGAAATGTTGGCATGGCACTGATATTGCAATCTTCGGATATATCCTAATTACGGAAAATAGATTATTAACGCTGATTATACTACTATAATTAAGTCAGTCCAATAGAAATTAGATCCAGTGGCGTAGACAAAACAGATTAAATTAAGAATTACTATTACGTCGATTGCCTTGAGAAGTTTAGCAATTTCGCCCGTAATATAATAGCATATTTCGACAAGAAAATGATTAATTAACACTGAATGATAAGTAAAGATTATAGGCTATCGCTCTGTTACCCTACGATAAATCTATTTAATGTCTAAAAATTCTATTATTACAGATGTAACTATCGATGCTTACACTATTTTGATCAACATTAACCTTCAAGAATATAACATTGCTATATATCGGGACGTTGCTCAGATTCTAAATATAGGTAAATTTAGTAGAAGATGAACAGATTGACACAAATCAAATCTGTGCAGTGCAACTTTAAAAATAAATTACTCATTGTTCGTAATATGAAATCACACCAATCTTCACCTCAAATTTTGGCCCTATCATACGGCATGGACCACACCAAACTGTATAAAAATCGATCACTACTAATTTATTTTTAGATAATTGAATGTAACCGACCAATTCCTCCTAATGAATTATTAAAAAGATATAATTAAGAACAACAAATTAGTTTTAAGGCGAAAACGATCCTTCTCGTAGCTATTTTAGATAGCATAAAGTGAAATCTGTTCCTTCTATCAATACGAGTAACAAGTAGCTATATTATAGGTTATAGCCCTAGAACGATTAAATTAATACCTTGTTACGTTTATTTGTCACTAATATAATCGAAAACGACAAACTAAAAATATCAAGCAATGAATAAAACAAATGTAATCTTACCTTTGTTTCTATTGATTTTACGCCCATTTTCACGATCGTTAACTTACCAACTAATGCAGCATGAACTTTTCTTTAATCCTAGCCGTCAATATCTATAATTCAGATTGTGACATACGCTATAGTGGATAAAAATTTAAATCTGGCCTCAATTACCCGTATAGCTACGATTTTAAAAAACTCGTACAAGATTGTTTTGTTTTTCCTTAAACAGGGATTTATTCTTCTATTTTAGTTTTTTTTTATATTTCAATTACTTCCAATAAAACTAAACCTTAAAAGCGACCCCCTACCGACGATACTATTGTCGGCAGATAACGTGTCTTTCGTTCACTAAAGACTATATCGTGTATCTGAGTAAAGCCCCCTTCTTAACGTTCATTTTTGATGACATTGCTATGAAAACCTTATACTAGTTTATCAATCTTCTCCTTAATGATATAACTTTAATGGCATATCTGTAACTTAATAATCAAGAATTTCGTCCTTCTGTTAAAATCTTGACTTTTTAATTAATGGATAGAATTATTTAAGAAATCCGCAGTTTATATTATTAGAGAAATATTATGATGTCAATCGGTGGATGCATTAGCCTTAAAGATACTCTACTACATCATAGATGCATTAATGATTGCCATTAGCCATCGATTTATCGTTTGCTCTACATCAGTCTATTAAATCACTAATTTTACCAACTATCGGATACTATGTTTAACTGTGTCACAGTTATAAGCTAGGAAAGGATAATAATCATTCCTTAGCTAGTCTTTCTATTAACTAAGTACTGTCTGTACACTAATGGCCAACAATACTTCTGAGATTTAATACATTAAAATCCGAATTGTGGAAAAACTACCATATCTCTTAAATTCTCAACAACATGCAGGCTCATTTAAAAGCTATTTGCGGGCTCTTCCAAATAAATAGGTTTTCTAGTCACCAAGTATGCCATTTCATCTTATCAGCTTTTATCGATGAATTTATTTATCAAGCAAAGTTGACTGTTTCGCGTCTTACGAGGCTTTCTTTCCTTCATATTGCCTCAGAATCTCAAACATGTACCTACTGAATTACTCGTAAGGACTACAATCTATTAATAAGGTGCGTTTCTAANATTGATTTTGATTAATAAATGGAGCAACTAATACAATTTGTCATCCATAAAATATGCCAATAGTACCCACGTTAATAATCAGTACG